AAAAGAATAAGAAAAGAGGGAAACAGGGGCGAAGGGCTCTTGCCTCCTTTCTTTTCTTTCTTTCCTTTCTTTCCTATTCTCCCTCTTTTTCGTTTTTCTCTTTCTTTCTTCTCTTTCCCTTTCCTTCTCTCTCCCTCTCTTATTTATTTTTTGGCGGGGGGCGGGGGGACGAGGCAAAAGCCCTTTGCCCCCGTTTCCCTCTTTTCTTCTTCTTCCTCTTCTTTCTTTCCTTTTATCTTCTCTTTCCCTTTCCCTTTCCCTTCTCTCTCTCTCTCTGATTTATTTTTTGGCGGGGGGGGGGGGGGAAGAGTCCTTCGCCCTTCCCTCGTTTTCCTCTTTTCTTCTTCTTCCTCTTCTTTCTTTCCTTTTATCTTCTCTTTCCCTTTCCCTTTCCCTTCTCTCTCTCTCTCTGATTTATTTTTTGGCGGGGAGGGGGGGGGGGGGAGTGAGGAGGAGGCAAGAGCCCTTCGCCCCCCCCCCGTTTCCCTCTTTTCTTATTATTCTTTCTTTCCTTTTATCTTCTCTTTCCCTTTCCCTTTTTTCCTTCTCTCTGTCTCCCCCAGCTAGGGCTGGTTTTGTTTACGAAGCGCCCGTCAGGAGAGTACACGATAGAGTACACGATAGAGTTCACGATATTGTCAATTTCGTGAATTTCTTCGTGAAAAATATGCGATAAAATTGACGATATCGTGAATTTTATCGCATATTTTTCACGATTTAGTCTATTCGCGATGTCCCTTCAGGGCCACCATATCAGGGCCACCATACCTCCGCTCGCATCGCACCGTGAGCTACAACACGTGAAATTCCTTACCATTTCATGCATTACCTAATACGCTAAATCACAGCAACAGCCTAACTGAACCCACTTTTAATACCGTCTCGGCCTGAATTTTAAAGTTCAATGTTTTCTCTCTAAGATGATATACATTTGAAATAATTTCATTCGTGGGGAAAGGTTGCACTTTTTGCTTTAAAATGTTCAAAAAAAACCTTTCACGACACTTTCTCTATGGAGGTCAACGGATTCTCGCCCAAAATCCGTCAACTCTCCATACTTATCTTGGCTGTATAACTGATTCGATCGGCGAATTGCCCCATCTCGCATATCAAATTGAAGCAGAGGTTTCAAAGATTCCAGTAATGTATCATTCATTTTGATTGGATAAGAGGAAAAGGTTGCACTTTTGCATCCAATGATTTGCTGTCTCTCATGTATGCTCCTTTTTGCGCAAGAGCATGACATAATGCCACACTAGCGTGCGAACTTTTGCGTTGCATGTGATTTGAAACAGCACGTCTCCTCTCGGAATGTTCTTCAAACTTGTCCATTTTGTGTAGTTATTTCTTTCAATATGTGAGTTTTAACCTTAAATATAGAAAGAAGAAGACATGTAGACTGTAAATGGTGATACATCATGGATTTGTTGTGTAATTTGCCAGTGACCATGAAGAAACACAAAGGATTTTGTAAAATTGTTCGTCGTAAACCTCAGAACCTGAGAGAGGAATGTTCCATTTGATTGTGGGGTTAAATATATAATTAGTGAACTCCTTGATATTGAATTATCGATATGAATTCAATCTTTAACAGTTTTAAAGTCTTGTTATTGTTTTTGTGTCGTCTTAGAGTTTCATTAAAAGACATAAACATGCAAATGAAATCGTCCTTGTTTTATGTTCATGTTATGAACAAGACCCATTCTCCCTATTTTGTCATAATGGACGCACCCAGTGATCTGTGTTACGCGCCAGTGCACGCTGCGGGACTTGGTGCGAAGCTCTGTGCGGAGTTGACCGAGCCGGTGAGCAATCCATTTTATGAACGAATTCGCCCCAAAGTTTTCCATATGGTAAGTTTTCCTTATGATTCATGAACGGTCAGACAATTCACTTTTAATACGTAACGTATAGTGAAAGGGAATGGGCGATGATCCGTTCAGGAGGTAGAGGTGTTTGTGCTGGCAATGTTCACGCGAGCGAAAATGAGACAATCGGAGCAATATGATTTTCCTCTTCTTCCTTCTCCTCTTTTTCTTCTTCTCCTTCTTCTTTTTCTTCTTGTACTTAATATCATTTCTATCATCAGTTTAAAGTTATTATTATTATTATCTTTAATAAGTAGTTCTTTTAATTTTCCTATCTGTCTGTAAATATTACTATTTTAACTTATTAATTTTATACATGTCTGCATGTATAAGGGACCCCACTGGAAATAAGCTCTCGAGCTTTCGTGGCCGGGTTATCCTGTTCAAGCTGACTTATTTTTGATCTGTTATTATTGTATATTGCTGTATGTTGGAAGCTTTTCGAATAAAAATCAATCAATCAATCGACGTCCTGATCGAGTTTTCGGACCTGTTGGCCCGAATTCACAAAGCAAGGTTTGAGCTCAGACCAAGGTTTGAGCTCAAACCTCCTTTTGTTCCACCAAACCTCCTTTTGTTATTTACAAACCAGGTTTGTAAATAACAAAAGGAGGTTTGAGCTCAAACCTTGCTTTGTGAATTCGGGCCGTTGAGTCTGTGTGTCTGCGAGCGGTGAGTGCGCAGCGGCAGGATGCAGGCTCGGACAAACTCCGCGCAGGTGATTGCGGGTAACCCGAAGACGTGTCCGGACAATCACTTGAAACCGGGCGCGTCAGGACTAGCGGAATCCTCCACGTACGCGACCTTAACCCCCCCCCCCCCCCCACTAAAAAAAAAGGTCTAGCGACTCCCCTGGTTGCACCGTCATCTTCAGTATATTTTTCTACACATTAGAGGTCATTTCAAGTAGATGCCGAGAATGGGTCACACAACACCAAAAAAACTAACTATATAAAGGCACTTTGAGGGTTCACCCGGTGGCGTTGCGGTCTATTTGGCAGAATGCCTAACTCTATGACAGGCGCTAGCTAGCGCATAGCATGTGCGTGCGCGTCATACGTGCGCGCGCCATAGACGTATGTCAGCTTAGTGCAGCGCTCCATTGTTTACATTGTCTCTGCTTTTAGCGTGCGAGGCGCACTTCATTTGGCGAGGCATTTAAATTTTTGAAGTTGCTAGGGACGACGTGCGGAGGTTCCAGCTTTAGAGAAGCATGGATAAAAGAGAAATGATTGGCTAAGAGGTCAGAACAAACGATGAATATGCATGAGTAAGAGGTTCCCCAGGGGCCCCGGGAAATTCAAGGCCAGGCGAATGATAAAAATTAAGTAATCCCTTCGTACGTCGGACCTTCAGTTCACGTACGAGGGGAGAGTTACAAGAGTCATTTAAGTATGAAGGGGTGACCAAAGTTCGCGCACATTTTAGAACATATTACAAAATGTGATATTCGATCTATGATTTCTCACATTCTACACAACTTTATTTATTTCAATTATTACCAAATGGACGGCAAAGTTTTTTACTACAGATTGGTTCAACTAGAAAAATTTACCGTCGAAGGATTTCGGAGATATCGCGATCTAAAAATTCGATGTCCGATCGTGCGTGCGCGCTGCATCTAAAAAAGTCATAAAAACAATGAGACCTAACTTCACGCACGGTGGTTAACAGTTGATTTATCAAAAATGCGATCCATCAAAAATAAGGTAATATCATAATTTGCAAGACAAGATATCGTACAATCAGTTAGTACCACTCTTTACTTACAATTTTGAGGATTTCTGATCTCAAAATGAAGATTTCCAGACCCTTATCGGTAAGTTGATAATTTTTCGGAACGGACGCAAATAACTGCAAAATTTGCCGATCTTTTGTCAATATTTTCACAATTTCGCACCCAATTCTAAAGAAAATTTCGTTTCTGGGTAATTTTATGACCCTCTTTCAATTGGTGATATCAGATTTTCGAAATCTTACCGATTTTTTGAGAAAGCGAACTTTGGTCACGCGCGAACTTTGGTCACACAGCCATACATAAATTATCATTTCATTCATTCATTTCATTTCAAACCTCAGCTATATTCTTATTTGAGTTTTTCTGTACTATCTATTGGTGTATTAAGTTTTTTTAATACTCGAGTTAATAGTTTATAATCTTAGATTATAGCTTTCATTTTTTTTTCATCAGAATTTGCCGTCAAAGTAGGGTCACTTTTTTGTTTACGTACGTGTGCGTGTGGGGAAGATGAGTGGGTTGGACGCCCATAAGCTTGCTCTCAGCAAATTGTGTAGGTTTTGTGGGGGTAGGCTAATCAGCTCTGGATATTCTTATTTTGTTTGTGATTACCAACATTTGTGGGACAATTCTGATTTAATTTTTGTAATGATGATCATGTAATTCACCCCAAATCTTTCTGTCATAAATGCTATTGCAAGCTAAGTAATTCCAATAGGCGCAACAAAATCAATGACTGGAAACCGAAAAATGATTGGACGAAACACAAACGAACGGAGGAGGCCTGCACTACATGTAACCTAATGATACCAGCTAAGGGTGGGAGGCCCCCCAAAACCAAGTCAACTGGCAGACCCCCAAATCCAGCCATTTCAATGTCAGCCCATTTTTCAGCACTTTTTAACAATTGTCTTGCATATTCTATGTCCAAATTTATCTCGTCAGATCATTTCATGTTGTGTAAACTGTGTAATAATGTGTTGGTTAATCCATGTGTGGGTTCATGTGAGCATGTATTTTGTTTGAGTTGTGTACATAAGTCGATCCTTTGTCAGTGCAAGTCGTGTCAGTGTTCCATGTTGTACCTGTCAAACACCAATTCACTACACATCAGTCACACTAATACCACAGTTTCACCTCGACACAATACACTCCACAAACATCATATGCACAGTCTGCAATACAAACCTACCATACATCAACACTAAAGTACACACTTGTATACATGACACACATGATCACACATACGCAAAACACACACATGTCACACCAACAAATCTCTCCCGCATCGAAAAAGACTTGTTGGGTACGGCCATTTTTAAAGAGAAGTTGAAAGAATCTAACGATGGCACAGCAACTTTTCACACAAAGGGCAAGGTAAACATAAAATAATATATGTATTCATAAAATTAATATGATTCTAATTTTATTATAATGCATGATTCATACAAGATCTGCGTATTCACTAAATTAATATAAGCCTTCAGTGGAAAATCCCAAAATGAGGTCCTCGGAACTGGACAAAGTTTGCTTGTTTTACATGTACCAGGTATCTTGTTATATCAGTAGTCAATACAAAACAAAGCAAATTGATTTCATTTTGACCATAGAAATTAGCTTTTATATCAGGTATTTCTTTACATCAGATCTCTTTATATATGTATTAATTATCTACATTACATGTTCGAGGATAAAAATTTCTGAGCAATTATATTTTTTATAATAAAATGTGTTTCATAACTAACTTAAAATGGATTTTCACTTTATATTTTATTCATACGATCATGATAGGTTCTCAAGAAAAGTATATACAGTCTACTTCAATCATAACGAGCGCTGATACAACAAGATCTCATTAAAACGAGGCAGTTTTCCCAATTCCGAATTCAAACCTGCGCACATGTGTCTATGTGTTCAGAAAAACAAAATTTTGTTTATAAATTGGCTTGGTCCTGAAATCCTCCTAATAATTGAAGTGGACTGTAATTTTAAAAATGTGTACAATACAATATGTGTATGTTCAAATTTATTAAGTTGCAACACACATCCAAAATATCTCGATCAAGTAATAAATAGATTAAAAATCAAGCCTCCCTTTTGTTATGCATATGCCCTCTCCCCCCCCCCCTCCTTTGGCAGCCCAGAAAAAGAAAAATAAGAAATATATAGCAGTGGGTGTTCTTTCCTTATATGCAGGAATGTATTTAAAATATTCTGTAGCAACCACCACCCCCCCCCCACGCCTAATTTGGCCACACTGTTACTAAAATATGATATAATTTGACGGACAAGTATTCAACATCCCCCTTTTTCAGCCAAAATAAACTAATGGCATATCTGATCTGTCTTTTTTTAACAAGCCACTAGTAACAGTGCTTATGCACAAAGCCCAAGTTTCTTCAGATCAATGTGCTCCATCAACATTAAGACATCGCTCAGAGACGTTGCTGCAGGCTCGTGACTTAACGAGTGGAGGAGCAACATCAGCCCAACTAACCCATGAGGTAAAGTTCCGGAAACTAGCATCAGATCTGGACTCACTAATGACTGGCACATCCATTCGGATTCCAGATGGTGAAATGCTGGACTTGAAGGTTGGACTTGGTCTCAGCTGGACAAGACACAGAAAGCTGAAAAGGTAAATACAGACATCATGAACTAATAGCAGCCATTATGTTACATAACTTGAGGCTGAATTACATTATTGAAAAACACCATTAACCTATCTATTCATTCCAGATGGTTGAAAGAGCGGAAAGTCCTTTCGGAGGGAGAAAAGGCCAGTAGAGCTCAGCAAGCAGAAATAATTGGGGATAATCTGGTTGGCAAGTGGCTACCCTTTCAGTTCCACAATGATGACCTCCATTGCATCGAGTATTTGAGAGCCCCTATGGTAATTGTTTCCAGTCTTCAGCACAAAGTGCTACAGCTTCTAGAAGACTACGACAAGTATGTATACATTAACAATCTATTTCAGTCCAAATCACTATTTTATTTATGAAATAAATTCATTTCACAATGCTAGCACCGTATTTTAGCTTCATAATTTTAATGCTTGTCTTTCCGTACTGGCCTTTTAATTCAATTAATGACGACTCCTTATTTGCAGGCTGAATCTCCTAACCTGGAGCCATGGAATTCCTAACAACGAGATTTGGCTAAAACTTGGAGGCGATAAAGGCGGGAGTTCTTTTAAACTGGCTATTGAAGTGGCCAACTTAACCAACCCAAACAGTTTGAGGAACACAGTCATTGTTGCTGTGTTCAAAGCTGGGGACAACACCTTCAACCTCTCCCTTGCCCTTCAGGAGTTTTCACAGCAGGTGGATATGCTCATGGCAACCACGTGGAGGTATGAACATGAAGTGAAGAAATTTAATAATTTTTCCCAAGATATTTTATCTCTCCCTAATCTTTTCCCTATACAAAAACTGACTCATACTAGAACAACTATTTCTATAAAAAAAAATATTTGTCACAATCTTTCTCAATGAAAGTGTGTGATTATAATATAATACAAAATAAATACAAATTGTCTCATGATTTTTAATTTTCTCTTATTTTTCAGAGGAAAGACACTCCGCCTGTTTCTGTGTGGGGACTACGAGTTCCTGACAAAGGCATATGGACTGACAGGGCCAAATGGTATGAGTAAATTAATATGATTTGGTTGTAATAAAAATAACACATATCTTCCATATGTGTACATTGTCAATTGGACTAAACATACTCTCAATCTGTATATGTATGTTAGTTAACGATTCCCTACATATATATCAAGGCATTAATTGTATTTATAACTTACATCCTTAGGACGGCACTGCTGTCTATATTGTGAAATCGCCAAGGCTCAGATGGTGGTTCCTCAACATGTCCGGGGACCCAGTCCATCCAGAACTTTGTCAAGTCTGCAGAAGAACCTAGAGGAATTTAAGACAGACGAAGTGGCTAAGCTACACTTCAATGTAGTGAGGGAGCCCCTCTTCAGAATTCCTATAGATCAGGTAAGAAATTAAATTTCAATTAACAATATGCTGAACAAAACTCTTCATAATAAAGTCAACCTATAGCATTGTATACTCACAGCTGTGAGCTTTCTAAACTAAACTTATTAAAAGTAAACATGAATGTTATATTTTTTGAGTGTCCTAATCTGAATTGTTATGGGTCAATTTTACAGGTATGTCCCCCAGGGCTCCATATTAGTCTGGGCCTCTTCCTCAAGCATTTCATAAGCATGGAGAGACGGTGCCATGAACTGGATGTCAAGATTGCTGAGCAGCTGTCGCATGCAGCAACAATACCTGAAGTGAACCTGCAAGGACTTGCATGCCTCATCCAGCACCAATCTCTACAGAGAAAAATCACTGAAGCAGAATCCGAGGAGAAAGATTTTCTGGAACAGCTCTCCTGCTTCGTCACTCTTTATCCTGATGAGAGTCAGCCAGTGAAGCTGTTGCAAGAAGCTGCAGCAGAGAAGGAAAAGGAAAAGAAACAATTGGTAACTATTCTTCTGTCAACCATACGAAACCCCCCCCCCACATATTATTCTACCAACAATTCTACCAACAATACATTTTCTCCTTTTTTTTTTTACAGGAAAAAGAAATCAAAAAGCTACCAAAGGTCCCTCAAGGCAGTGGACCCGTTGCTGCATCACTAGACAGGGCCCTGCAGGGGATGCAAGTTAAGAGGCAGGCGTACCATGGCAAGTCCTTTGTCGGGAACCATGTCCACAAATGCTTGAAGGTATATTTTCACTTTTTACTCTCAATTACAATCATGTACGAAAATGCTAACCTTAAATTGAAGAATTAAATTAAATAACACACTTCAAATGAAGTCAAAGTTACAATTGAAGTGCCAGTATATTTTTTCTCCATTTCAGGCTTATACGTTTGTTAAAATCTATTTCTATCCCAAACAGGAGGAGAACATTGCCATTATTACAACAGCAATCGTGGAAACAACAACCAAACTCTGCCCGTCCCTTAAAGAGGAAGCAGAAGAAGTTGCTGCATCCTACAGGACTCTGCTGAATCTTTATGGCAGGTGCCACAGGGCCTTTAATTTGAAGCATTTCATGACTGACGAAGACATCTCCCAACTTGGTGAGTTTCTATACATGTTTTTGCTACTTTAATTTTTGCCTCAATAAATATGCCTACTGCAAAAACACACTGTCACAGAACTTATCTTTATTTGTGGCAGACTTGATTCAAACCTTCATGCTACAATGTTGTTGGCCAACCTGTCATATGTGTTCCACTTGAGTTTGTAGATCCTTTTAGAAAAAAAAAGAAAAAAAAGATAAAGTCATTCACGGGCACTTTGAACTCAGAACGTATAGGCATAACATAAAATTATAATTACTTTAAAAAAATGAAATAAAATGATATATCAACAATTCTTAGACTATCTGCTATAATTGCCTTCTAAAATTATCATTTCAGACCATGACATCAAGGCATACCTCATCTTTTTCCGGGAGAAATGGCCAACTGAAACAAACCCCCCTAAACTTCATTTGACTGAAGACCATATAATACCATGGCTAAGGAGATGGAGAGCACCATTTGGGTTGATGGGAGAGCAGGGAATTGAGAGTCTACACTCTCATCTCAATACAATTGAATCCGATCTTAGAGGATTTAATAATTCCCTAGACATACTCCTTCATACTGTCAAAACTCACTGGGTCCACAGCAACCCTCGTTGTTATGGGAAAGAAGAGAACAAGAGTTAGTTCTTCTGGTATATGATAACACACTTGTTCATGGCCGCATATGTGACCGCATTGTATGTTTTTTCTGATTTAGTTACACATTCCGAATTAAGCTGAATTGCGTAAGGCCGAGATTAGGCTTCCAAATGATTCTTGTACAACAGTACAACAGTACAACGAGGGTTGCTATGGACCCAGTGAGTTTTGAGTGTGCATCCAGGTTCCGTGCAATAAGTGCATACGAGATATTTGACAGAAATATAAACACGATATCAACTTTGTTCATGATGCATAGACGTAGACCTTGGATATAGACCTAAGCTATTTCACCTATTTTAGCATGATCTTGAATAAAAGTTATTGAATGTAGATTTTGGGGAATATCATTTAGTTTAGCAACAACTTTTTACACCCATTCTAGACTGCGTGCAAACGGACACTAAAAATGGTTCATGTGTAGTTTTTTAAAGAACGAATACACAAACACGTCGCAGGCTTCATACGTACGCACCCACTTGGCTTGGTCCAATCCTGCCACTATGTGATACAGGTTGCCCTTGTTGGTCCATTTCAGTCTGAATACACTGCAAGATAAGGGGTATCAGTAAAAGTTAATTCATGTACATGAAAAATGCTATTGTGAATAGATAGGATCAAAGCTAAAGGTCTGCCTGAACTTTTTGCACATGCATGGCTTTGCTTGCGCTTCCAAGCAAGTACATACGGTATATGCATTATCAACGTAAACAATTTTAAGAAGTATATATGTATATGTAAAAATCACAAAAGGTAGGCACATCTTTTTTTAGCCAGCTACAGCTATTTACAGGCAGTTTTCTTGGCAGAATTTTAAATATTTTGCCTACTGTGAATTGAGTGCACTGACCTTGGCACATCATGCACATGCAGTTAAGGCGGCTCGGTGTAAAAATGTCAGAGGTAAAAATGTCAGAGGAAAAAATGTCAGAGGAAAAAATGTCAGAGGAAAAAATGTCAGAGGTAAAAATGTCAGAGGTAAAAATGTCAGAGGTAAAAATGTCAGAGGAAAAAATGTCAGAGGTAAAAATGTCAGAGGTAAAAATGTCAGAGGTAAAAATGTCAGAGGAAAAAATGTCAGAGGTGAAAATGTCAGAGGTAAAAATGTCAGAGGTATAAATGTTAGAGGTATAAAATAAAAACAAAATCATGTGGCAAGTTTGTTATGGTTACACCCGGGCCATATATTAGGCTTATCGAAAAAGAACAGCGAGGGATATTCTGCAGTCGTTATTTCACCGCTACTTTATTTTCTACTTTCCCAGTTAAAATTTATTTACCTTTCGGTCCCAAATTGTGACTTTTATTTGCCCGATTATTGCCGAAGGAAGACGAGGGGGGGGGGGGGGGGGGGGTATTCTTCTTCTGGGGCACGGTGACCCGGCTGCTCTCCCCTTCCTCTTATATTATGCTTTGCTATATATCCTTCTGAACAGTGGTCAATGCCTAGGCAGAGCAGGCAGACTAATGGGACATGGTTTCTGTTCCGAGTTTCGCGCCTTGCAAGCAATCATCAGGCAATTATTGATAGCATTCTTAAAAGTACATGATTATCTTATACAACCTTGGTACAAATACCCCTAAAATAAGACTTAACTAATAAAATACAATTAGAATTACTCATGAGTAATTCTTATTATATTTTATTCAGGTATTGTATTAGTTAAGTCTTATTTTGAGTGTATTTGTACCAAGGTTGCAGAGGAATCATGTACTTTGAAGAATGCTATATGTTGTCTGATGATCGCTTGCAAGGCGTGAAACTCGGAGTAGCAACCATGCATGTCCCATTAGCAGCGCTCAAAATACACGGGGGCGATTGCAAAATTTAAAATCGCCCCCGTGGAATTATAAAATAAAGATTATCTTTTCTGTTACAACTTTAACACAATATTGAGTTTCAATTTTCAAACCTTAAACCAATGAAATGGAACTTAGATTAGCGTGCAAGATTTCTCGTTCTATATGAGTATTTATTAACGATTCAGCTCGCAGTGCAGTGCTGCAGTCAGCAGTGGTTATAAGCCTACTGCGCCGTTAGTAACGGTACGTGTTCACGCTGCCGCCCCATATCTGCTGGAGCTGGAGGCGATCGCGCAAGGGCAGAAACATGGTCATGGAGAAGTTTTTCGTCGTGAAAAGCGTATACCCGCTGAAATCTGGTGATTTCAAATGACCAGCAAATAGTGAACCTCGACCAGTAAACCAAAATTAGGGACTTTTAGATTTGCACGACGAGAACGTGGACTGCAACGTGTGACCTCCTTTTAAGGCACTGCCAGTGCTTAAAAGGACGTCACATGATTGTGACTGCCAGTGCCTTAAAAGGACGTAACACGTCCACGCAAATCTAAAAGTCCCTATTGGGAAGAAGAGGAAGACCAAGATGTTGTTGAATGATATGGTAACATGGGCAGATCTACAGGGGGGGGGGGTTAGGGGGTTTAACATTTTTGAGCAGACTCAGGCGACCGGTGAATATTAAAGCGGTGGGGGGGGGGGATGCTGGAGAGGAGGACCACTAATTTTTTTATTTTTTTTTAACTCTCACTTTCACCTATCCCAGATAACCCTAAGTTTTGTGTTGCTGCTTTATATGTAGATGATAATGCATGATTACTATAAATAGAGAGAGAGAGAGAGAGAACCACCATCATTATGCAATGGTTCAGGGTTTGTGTAATGTACGTTTGAAACCATTTCTTAGCGTCTCAACCCTAAAAAAATAGCGAAACTATTTTTGAGGAAAAGCATTATACTGAACTGAATAAAGAATAATAACTTTAATAAAGAATAATAACTACTAATACTGATACGGGCTAAATACAATGTGGTATCGGCACAGTAAGATCGGGTATTTGTATAGAGGTATTCCAAAATGACATTCTGATAATCAACATTTTGTTCTGTTATCATAATATACGCATAATACAACTGATCTTTGTGATTTCTTAACGTGACATAGTTTCTTCTCCCCCTGCAAACAAAAAAGAAAACAAGGTTATTTAATAAAAGGATCATGGGACAAAACGATCATTGTGATTCAAATTGATGCAAGGATTTTTTTTTTAATATTAAGCAATGCTTTTCACCAGAATCTTCTTTGTAAAAACGACTTTTAAAAATCTCAGCCATGCAATTCTGCCACTGTGTTGTAAGATCACTTTCACATTAGGAGAAGTGTATTTCTTCAATGAGTATTTTAAATTGAATGGAACGTCTCAACTCAGTAAGCATGGCTGAGATTTGTAAAAGTTGTTTTTACAAAGAAGATTCTGGTGAATAGCAGTGCTTATTCAAACAAATATTTGAATCACAATCATTATTTGTCGCTTAATCCCTTTTAATGATCTGTTTTCTTGCTCGTTCCAGTTCAGTTCAGTTCATTTTATTCAAAACCACACAAAGCATGATATAATCTGTTACATAATAAAGAGACTGGTAATAGTACATCAATCAACATATTCTAACTTGATTACATAATAAACTGAATGGTCAACAAAGTACATACATTTACAGTAAAAAGAATGTTACGTATGATTATACAATGGATGAAAATACTAAGCTACAGAATATAGAACATACAAATACTCTCTCACACACACACGCACACACCCACACACACACACACTGACAAGTAGGTCCTTAGTGGTCAAAAAACATTTCAGAATAAGAAAATACTAAGATGCAAATAAAAACTATGTCAGTCTTTCAAGTAGGTACGTTTTAGATAACCTTCTAAACCTAGAAAGAGTTGTACTATTTTTTATATCATCAGGCAGACTGTTCCATTCTTTAATGCAAGGGGAGAAGAAGATATGTCATAGTGTGGTACGGTATGTCACTGAAACAGCCCCCGTACGACTTTTGTGCCAAAATTGATTATCAAAGTGGGGGGGGGGGGGCTAAAGTATTTACGATCAGGTAGAGGGTAGCGAGCGTAAATTGGTGTGGGGGGCTCAGGGGGTGGAGCCCCGGAAGCTCAGGGGTTTTAGGCATTTAATTACGGTCAGAGAAGCACAAATATTTTGATGCCGCATTTACGTCACTGGCAGGTCAGGGGGAGGGGGTTGTTAAGTTAAATTTACGTTATTATCCTACTTTTTTTACCGGTTTGGGAGGCTAGGGGGGCGGGCCGTTAGAATCGGCCCGTGGATCCGCGCCTGTACAAAAAAGCACCAAAAACAGAATCGCTCAGTAAAGAAAGAATGTAAAGGTTGCTCAGAATAATGAGGAGGAAGTAATGTGCAGAACGAGAAGAAAGTCAGTAACAGCTATGTACATGTAGCTTGTAAATTTGTAAGAGGCAAAATGCTGATTATAATGAAATAGCAAAGAATTAAGGAGTATCATAGGTACCAATTCAATGGAAATTTGTATAAAAAAGAGCCCCCGTCAGTACTAAAAGAGCCCCCGTGAGAAGGCTCACGGGGGCTCTTTTTGGGGGAAGAGCCCCCGTGGACAAAAAATTAATTTGAGCCCTGCCCATTAGTCTGCCTTATTCAATATTTATATACTGGTATATTATGCTTTTGTAAAAGCAAATGGTACTAGTACACTGAGCAAACTTCTGGGGAAAAAGATTTATAAAATCGAGAAGTTTGGCCATGTTTTATAGGCTGAGTTGTCGCTCCATGGTGTAATTATTAAATAAAAATAAAAGTCAGTACAGCCCCCGAAATAGGATCAGATATCTATGAACCCCCCCCCCCCGCCCCCCACTTCTCCTTCACTTTTGAAGATTGTTGGACATTTTAACTGCGTGGCAATGACTACTATTATATGTAATTTCCAATAAATGCATATTTCCGACAATTCCACTTTCTTGTGGGCTTGGTATTTTGATACTCTGAAACAAAGCAGAAAGCCATGTTATTAATGCTAACCCATCACATTCCCGAAGTGCGCGCGTTCCAATAAAATATTGTCGATTACTATTGCGGTATAAAATAGTCTGGGAGAAAATCAATAAGCAGCTTTGTTACTCCGATAAAAAGCAGAAAGCCGACCATGTTACATCAATTAAAGAGAAGGTTGAGTTCTGGGGAAAGGTGAACAATAATTTGTGAGCGTTTGTTATCATTCTTGTTATGCAAGTGTGGAAGAACATCAAAGAAAAAAGTTATTCCCTGAAAATCTATTTCAAATGACTTCATATCCCAGGTATGACAAGTAACGGCTTTAAAATGAGGCCTGATTTGATTTATATGCCATATGTTTGTGTAGTCCCATATCAATATCGTTCTGTGTACAGTGCTTGTGACTTTACCAAGACTGGGCCAAAGTTTTTATCATTTTGATAAAATTTTTCGTGTTTTCGTGATTCCTCGTGATTATATGTAATTATTTGTACTAAATGCACTACTCACTTTAACACTTGACTTTTGTCGAGAACTTTCATTTCTTCGTTTGGACTTTGTTCGTCTCTGGGACGTTACACGGGCTAGGTTGTAGGCTGCCACCGGCCAAACCGGTCCGTTTCACAAACATTAACACATCAACCAATTCAAAATATCAAAAAATGTTAGACATTCATACATAATATAATTATATGCAAGCCTGATCACAAAAAAAAAAAATTCAAAATCTATTTTCCACATTGTATTATCCTCAGGACATGTACGAAATACACAAACAGCCATTTATACAATTTACATTATTGAAGAAAGGAATATAATAGACAAGCCCATGCAGTAGCTCTACGTCTCGACATTCTGTGTGATAAAAGTGCTGAGATATTAAAACGGCACTCATTTTTTTTTGCTTGTACATTTTTACCTCTGATATTTTTACCTCTGACATTTTTACCTCTGACATTTTTACCTCTAACATTTTTTCCTCTGACATTTTTACCTCTGACATTTTTACCTCTGACATTTTTACCTCTAACATTTTTTCCTCTGACATTTTTACCTCTGACATTTTTTCCTCTGACATTTTTACCTCTGACATTTTTACCTCTGACATTTTTACCTCTAACATTTTTACCTCTGACATTTTTTCCTCTGACATTTTTACCTGGCACCGTTAAGGCTACCTGTTGTAAAGGTATATAGTAACCACTACTGACTGTAGGCCTACAATTGAATTATTAATGACTTAATAGCAACAACAAGCTGTTGAGAGAGCCTATTTCATTAGCTCATTATTCTCCTCTGGTTTAAAGCTTTATGACTTACTTCGTTCTATTCTTGTTCCCGTGGTCTGTCGGCCCACTGTCAGGTCCAGGCTTTGGCGAAGAACTAGTCTACTCCCAACTGGTTAGCATTGCGGTGACAACTCAGACAAGTTTGTAGACACTAATCAATCATATTATCCTTGTGCAATAAAACAGGAAGTAAAAAATTTAGACCTTATGGTCTGAAACATCACATCTGCTTTTTAAAATATATGTACTCAGAGAACAGACAATGAACAATATGTATACAGGACGTTCTCAATGGAATAAAGAACTGAAGACTGAACAATAAACCATGTAGTGTCTGCTTTTCTTTGAGAAATTTTCAACATATGAATTTATAACATATAGACTAGCTGTATAGATGTGGGTATGGACTATGGAAGGAGAAAGACAAAGAAGAGATATTGAGACGCGAGGGGGGGGGGAGCAGTTTTTTTTCCTGAGGCTGAGCCCCCATTTGTCATCAAATTTAATGGTGCTTTTTTTTTACTTCTTTTTTTTTTTTTTTTTTTTTGGTGAATGTTATTAATTGGGATCTAATCATAATGAAATTTCAGAATGATAAAAAGGAATGAACTGCCTAATAATAGTATGAATATTCTAATAATAGTCATACTATTATTAGGCAGTTCATTCCTTTTTATCAATCTAAAATTGCATTATGATTAGATCAATTAATATAATCATCATTCACCAAAAAAAAGGAAAAAAAAGAAAAAGAAGTAAAAAAAAAAAAAAGCACCATTAAATTTGAAGTTCATTTGTTTAAATGTTGATGTAGATCTAGATCCTACTACAGAAGATCTAGACCGAATTTTCCGTCTCTTTCGTTCGTTAGCCTCTTATTGGGGTAGGGTCGGCCGGCTCTCTCTTTAGAGACGGAAACCGTCTATACACATTCCCTTGATAACGCCACGGCCATTTCAGGTCGTAGCGTTTTGCCCCCAAAATCCCCCAAAATGTCATTTTACCTCGTGCATATCCAAATGTAAATTAGGCCTAGGCTATAATACATCGGTTCCACTTACTAACTTGATTGAAATAATCCGTTTAATGGTCCCTTTTTAGGAATTTATGGGTCAAAATCAAAATCCGTTTTGAAAATCTTTTTCAACAAGGATTTCGATTTTGACCCATAAATTCCTAAAAAGGGACTATTAAACTGATTATTTCAATCAAGTTAGTAAGTGGAACCGATGTATTATAGCCTAGGCCTAATTTACATTTGGATATGCACGAGGTAAAATGTCATTTTGGGGGATTTTGGGGGCAAAACGCTACGACCTGAAATGGCCGTGGCGTTATCAAGGGAATGTGTATAGACGGTTTCCGTCTCTAAAGAGAGAGCCGGCCGACCCTACCCCAATAAGAGGCTAACGAACGAAAGAGACGGAAAATTTGGTCTACAGAAGATCTAGATCTAGCACTGTAGTACAGACAATGGTTTTGACAACAATTACAATTGAATTTAAACATGGTGACTGATATCAATTCTTTTATATTTTTATCAATACAGTTCTAAAGGCAGCATCAAACTATTCAGATACATTAAGACTAATATTAACAACATAACCGTGACATTTTGCTTTAAAAAAATAATCACATGAATGAATTAAAGAGATTTCAACGCGCGAAATTCGTACACTACCTGTACGGACGACTAAAAGTTGTGCGTGGGACTACACGCATGTTATTGATGCAGTGGAGGCCAAACGGTGCACAAGCCAATTTCGCCCCTACGTACATGGCGGCACATTGAGCACCGCGCCGCTCAAACATGGATTATGCGGCTCTAGACTGTCGCATCCAGGCCCCCCAAGCTCCGCCATTTTGTCCGGATCCATTAGAAGCCAAAATAAGCTACCTTGCATAATTCATGAGCCTTATGAATTATGCATTCTGTAGGATGCTCCCCACGAAAAGTGTACTGGAATGATGTTCACTACATGGTAAAAGACAATGCGCGTATCAGCGTAATAAGAGAGGTCAAATAATCTACTGTACGGAATTACGGGTAATTTATTCATCACGCTGCGCGCTAGCAACGCAAGTGATTCAGCGAATCAGTGTGGACTATTCTGATGCGATCACCGTTAGGTGAAATACGCGCTCGAACTTGTATTATCGATCACCAGTATAACAGCTGGTGTACCCAGGATGCATCGGGAAGTGGACCTTAAAGTTCCACTCGTTGTTGTGTTTTTTTTTTTTAAAGGTTTTAATGGCGTGTATAATTCATTTCTGAATATTTACGCCCAACTAAGTAGCCTTTGAAAACATTATTACACCTCTACTTATTATTATTCCAGCATAAATTTTTCTGAAAATCTCTTTATTGTCCAAAAAATAATAATAACCATCCAGTTTCACAGATCTCAGGCTTGCTAAGCTCCACCCCTCATACCCAGGATGCATCGCGATATGGGGGAGTGGCCTTAACTTCATTGAATAAGAAATACTGTGTCGATCTATTCCCTTTTTATTCTATCAATAACTGGGTCTGTTTTTGTTTATTAAATCAAACATGCTATAAGCCATAAAACAACACATTCTCTGGCTATGATTTTACATTTTTAATATGCTGATGTATAAAGTTTCCTTATTTTAGACAAACAAATTATGTGACACAGTGGATGTTTTTTCCCCACCCACTCTCATCGTAGTACCTTCATGATTCCCTTTCTCTCTCTTTCTCTATCTTTCGTAAATTATCTTCTGCAACTGAAGGTTTGTTGTCTTGACTAAATAACCTGTTGCAGTTCTTTTCCGTCTCACTTTTAGTCGTACTTGTTATTACCACTCATTTACATGCACTCGTTATCAACTATGATCAACCATTCCATATTCACTCCATTACTGTCCACATTTCAATTGGATTCTCTTCACTTTTCCTTTTTGCAACCTTTGCAGGAGCTTTGAACATTTTTAATTTAGAGACCAGAGAGACCGGAAAGTATGTTAATTATTTTATTCAATTTTGTTAACTTGGAAAGTGAAACATTGTTTGATTTCAACATCTTGACATAATTTTGTTGTAAGACAATGGAATTTAACACTGGAAATTTCGAATTTGAAAAAAAAAAAAAAAGACCCAGAAGTGTTTCCAGGGTTTTAGTTAGGAGGCCCATGTCCTTTCTAATTTTATTTTTAAGAATAGTTTTCTCTTTTGTATTAATTTTACATTGGTATACCGTTAATTTCTCTGGGAAAACTACCCCCTTCCCTTAAAAATCAATACTGCCATTACTTCTAGCAACAGTAATTCTATAATTCAAAAGTTTTCATTTTCTAAATCCTTCTAATATAAACATATAACAAACATAATATTGTTTACACTTTTGCAACCTGTTACATGGTCCATGTAGAAACAACAAGAGGATAGCAAGCCCCCCCCCCATGTTTTCTTTAGCTAGGAAGTATAAAAACATGATTCTATTAAAATTAGCAGTTTGGATACGAAAGGCATGGATGATTAGCAGTTTTCATATTTAGTGCATTTAGAGGGTTGTCTTTCAAACCTTCTTACATACAATACTTGAAGCAGCAATAATATAATAATCTAAAAAACTTCTAATACAGAAGTCCATAGAGGTAAATGAATTTAAACATGTATAACTACAATTAAAATATCATTGATTAATTCAATCTTTGATTTAGACTGATCTTTATCACTCAATTTTCAAGGAAATTTCTTTCTGCCCAGTCCTCAGTTTCATCCTATAAGATGGTAGTTGACATTGTTAAAATGTTAATGTTTATTCACTGATGATTAGTTTATCTTTAATTATTTGAATGTTGACAAGGTGATAAATTCATTAGTTTTGTATGTGGTATTCTACAAACATATAATACAAGTAACAAATAAATAGTATGTAAATGTTCAAGTTTAAACCCATCTCTACTGTCCTCTTTCATTATATGAGGGTGGCATCTTTAAGAGGTAGTCCCATGTAGATGTCTTCTGCATTCATCAATAAAGTTGTAGCCTAGTTTTCAGAAGAAAGGGCTGTAATGATAACCCAAGTCTGTTGAATGGAAAAATAAAATAAGATACAGTGTATAAGAAAATCAACAACGATTAATAAATAATAACATACACCCTGATACCTGCCCTGACAAAAAAGAGGAAGGACTAAAATTCACTTGGAGTTCTAGTGGGCAAACCTAAACTATTTTTCCTACAAGACTAGTTACTGCTCATGTTAGATTATTTCTAATGATTCCATTAAGACGATAGGCCTGCTAGAGCTTGGATCAGACAAGGTATGAAATAAGTAATACATGTACAATGTACTTGTAATGTAAACTTGTGCTCATAATTGAATAATACTCAGTTAAGTATGGGACATAAAATGACCAAACAACTTGGACCAGAGAATGTACTGGAAAAATTGCAACTGCAACATACATTATGTAGACTTTTATTTCATCTATATTGACATTTTATTTTTAATCTAAATCACAATTGTGATATTCAGTCAAGTATTCTTTTACAAGTCAACGGACAATGAAAAATATATTTGTCAGATCTATAACTTTCTGCATGATATGTGTTCCAAAATAGTTTATTTGGGGTACCTACATGTATATTAGCACACTTGCTTGTATGAAGTGTAGTAGGCCCGCATTTCTAGATATGATCCGTCAATATCTGTTCTTTGTTCCTCTCCTGAGTTTGTAAACCAGCATGCCTTCATCGTCCACTGTAGAGAAGCATCATCCTACATGAGAGAAAACAATGTAGGTACTTCAATTTAAAAGCGATAATAATGGATATACATCAACCATAATACATCCTATTAACAGACTTTCTTTAATTTTATTTTGTGTTCATCGTCATCTTAATTGCTCAAGAAGTGAAAGGACCACTTACAAAAAAAAGTGATGAGGGGTTCTGTGTATACCCTACATGTATGATCATGTAGTGCTTTGAATGTGCATTAGATATGGTTCTTTTACACAGGACCTCCTGTAAATAAGGACAAATTTCCTTTGTAAACAAAGAAAGGAAAGATATCAATATTTGTGTGCTAAGTGCAGAACTAGAATAAAATATACCTCCACAATATACGCTGTCAACAAAAACTTAGTTCCATTTCCTTTTTAGTGAATTAATAGGTGGTCATTTAATATTTGTGTGCTAAGTAGCCTGAACATTTTACCTGCATGGGACTTTCTGCTTCATCTTGCAAATATAAGACATGTTTTAATGTCCACTCATCAGTTAACTCCTTCCAGATCTTCATCAGTTTCATTCTGTTGGAACAAAAATTTAAAAAAAATCGATATGACAATCAAGGCGTCCCTTTCTCCATAACAAAACAAAATAGATCTAGCATATTAACTATTTTTCATGTCATGGTTGGCCTTAATTTTAATATGGTGTGGAAATCAACATTCCAATTTAATGGACCACAGTACAAATTAAAATTAAATGGAAGATTAAACTTGTGCTTCAAAAAGTGCTTTATATGGCCTATACATATAAAGTAGTC